ACCCAGGAGGCTGTTGGCGTTGCGCAGCGGTCGCTGCAGGCACAGCAGCAGCTGATGGCCCTCTGGACGCAGGAGAAAAGCAGTCGGGCGCAGTGGGAAGCGGCGGCGAATGCGAGGGACGGCCAGCGCGCGCAGCTGCAGGACCTGATCATGCGCGTCGACGCGGCGCTGCCTGGCAAGGCGCGCGCGCAGGTGCGCGCGGCAGCCCGCGACGCGCTCGATGCGCAGGCCGCCGAGGCCGCCGCGGCCGCTGCGGCTGCGGCTGCGGCTGCGGTGGCGGCCGCTGCGGCGGCTGCGGCCACGCAGGCAGCCGCCGGGGCGGCCGCGTGCGCGCAGGACGCAGAGGAGCAGCCTGGCGGCGCCGACGGCGGCATGGCGGCGGTGCAGGCGTCGGCCGGTGTGTTTGGGGGTGGGAACCAGGATAGCGTGATGTTGTGCACGACAGCGATGGTCGCAGCCAGCCGGCTGTTTGTGCCGGCGGGGCAGCGCGTGGCTTTCGGGGGCCGCCCCGCTGAGCAGCAGCTGCTGGCGTGGATGGCGGGCGCGGCGACCCCGCCGCGGGCGTCGGTTGTGCAGCAGCTGCCAGTGCAGCAGTCGCCTCAGCAGCAGCAGTCGCAGCTGGTGCAGGTGTCTTGCGAGGGGCCACGCCACCTGACACTGCCGCAGCAGCGGCAGCTGCTGCAGCGGCTCCAGCAGCAACAGCAGCAGGCGCATGCCTTCGCCCTCAACGCAAGCTGGCAGCAGTTTCAGCAAGAGGGGTACCGTAGCGGGCCAGAGGCGCCCACCGGCGGCCGTCCCCGCAGGGCCGCAGGCGCCTGTATGGGCGCCTCTCGGGGTGCGAGCGAGGCGGCGGCGCAGCCGGCGGTTCTGGAAGTGTTCGAGACAGGCTCCCACCACCAGGGCAGTGGGAATGCTGCCGGCGCGGCTGTGGCAGCGCGTGCTGAGGAGCCCGCAGCTACTGTGGGCCTGGAGGCGGCGGCGGCGGCGAGGGGCATTGTCCTGGAGCGGGGAGGTAGGAGCAGCCCAAGCAGCGGCGCGGCCGCGGGCGACGAGCAGGGGTCATCCATGGCCGCAGCGGCGGGCGCGGCGGCCGAGGCGCTGGCTGAGGCCCGGCGGCGCTCGCGGCGCAGCACGCTGGCGCGCTGGGGGGGCGGCGTGGCTGCGGCTTTTTGCTGCGGCGCGCTGCTTGCGCTCTGCCGGGCGCGCCGGCGCTGACTGGGCCGTTTCTGTGGGGCACATCGGCGCGCATGCGCGCCTCTCGCCCAGCATTCTGATTAGCCCGCGTGCAGTTAGCGGGCAGTACTGTTTGGATTGCCTTGGCGCCGTGCATGTTAGATTTGCACCCCTCACCACGGCGGCATCTGTCACAGGTTGAGTCTGATGTGAGAGCCAGGCACGACCCGCGCTTGGCGCGATTGCTGGGCCCAGCAGAGGTTGGCGTGAGCGTTCTGTTCCGCCGCGCTGCTGGCCCAGCAACTTCTTCACAGGTCGTGCCGCTTGCTTCCTTTTTCTTGGTGGCTACCCAGCCGCCCTGTCCTAGGTCGGCCACTGGGGTCTTGCTTTCGCTTGCAGCTGCTTTGCTTTGCCGCACTTCTTTGGCCTGTGTGACGCTGCTTCTGACAACCATTGCACGCTTGTGTCGCCGCCTTGAAACATTGGTATTTGGTAAGCAACCCTAATGATGTGTCTGCATGCCCTCAGCAGCAGCGAGGCCGCCGTGCGCCGGCAGGGAGCGCAGCTCGCACAGTCAAGGCCAGGGGTTGACAGGGTGGGTATGTGGGACTTGGGCTCGGGCGTGCGGTGCCCAACGGGGGTCTGGTGATTGTCCAACGGCGAGGTGGCATGGGCCGAGCAACAAGCATGTCGCATGGTCCGCGGAACATTGATGAGATGCGCTAGGGTCGGCGGCGGGGAGGGGGTGCTCAAGCGAGGAGGGTGGCTGGCCTGGTGTTCGCAGGCCGGCCGCGCGAGCGCCAAGTCAGCGCGGCCAGGGAGTGACGCCGCTCCAGCCAGGATGTGGCTGCCCTGCATGCCTGGTCTGATTGTTGTGCCATGGCTAAGGTGCCAGCCAGGGGTAGCTGCCCTGGTTGAAGTCAGCGGTGGTGCATGGGGCAGCGTTGGAGAGCGTCAGCCAGCGCATCACTCCCCCGGCAGCACGGGGACCAATGTGGTGCTTACAAAGCTCAGGCGCCAAGGTGCTCGCCGATTTACCGCCATAGTGAATAATTTTTGAGCCGTTTCGTCGATAGTCAAGCCCGGAGCAAGCAATCGGAAGGGTCTGATCTTCGTTGGCTTCAACCACAGACCCGCGAGATGCTGCGCTCAGGCAGCGCCATTCTGGAGATCGCCACAAGAGGGACCGTCCAGGCGTCTATATGGCAGCTGCTGGGCGCTAGCGCGAACGCGGCCGCGCGCGGCGCAGCGCCCTACAGCACTAGTGTGTTGGCTGCAGCGGCGCAGCCCGCGCTCGCGACCGATCCTCTGCAGGTGTGCATGGCAGCCGTCCAAGGGTTTGCATGTCACCGCCATGCATTGCAATTGGTCCGCCCAACCCGATGTGCAGACACGCATGCGTGGGTGCTTTGCACCCACCCCACCCCCAAGCAGCTCGCGGGGCCGCCGCATATCATTGCCCACGCAGCTTGGGGGGGGGGGGTGACACCGCCACCAGCGGGCCGCCGATTACCCTTCATACAGATAAGGCTCGCCATATCACAGCCATCGGCCAACCCTACCCACCTCAGCCCCGACGTCCTGCCGGGTTCCCCGCTTCCTCACCGCCCCTCTCACAAGAACAGCGCCTTGCCCCGCAATCTGTCGCGACTCACTTTTCAAATTCGAATCCGCTACTAGGACGTGCTGTCCGACCAGCTGGAGGGATTCAGGCAGGCGGGCACCTTCAAAGTGGAGCGCATCATCACCACACCCCAGGGCGCGGCCGTCGGTGGGCGCGCGCGCGCGCGCGCCGGCGCGACCCCCCGGCTTCCGCTCCCGTCGCTGCCGCTGCGCCCGGCCGACGCTGTATGTTGGGGGCGCGGCGCACCCTCAGCTGAGGGGCTTGAGACCCAGCGATCCTGCTGGGTGGACCGGTGACTCGCCGCAGGGCCGTGGCGCCGGCCCGTAATCACGTTGTCGCACTGATATCGAGCCACCCCCCCTCCACCTCCATCAGACGCCTCTCTCGCGCACCCCAGCCCCGTGCATGCGCCTCTGAGCGAGACGCAAAGGCCTCTCGCCCGCCCCTCCCGCCGCCCGACCTTCGCTCCCCCTCACCTGTCCCGCACGCCTCACACCCCACCACCCGGCCCGCCGTTCCTGCTGCCCCCGCAGGAGTGCAAAACTCGAGCAAAGAGGTGCTCAACTTTTGGTGCGCCTCTGCGGCTGCCGCAACGTCTTGAGCGACCCCTCGTTGCCGCAACGCCTTCGGCCTCTCTTCTAGGCCCAGCCCGGCGGCGATAACGGCATCGCAGCACCCCTCCCTGCGCCTCACCCGCCGCCCGCGGCTGCTCGCATGATTCCAGAGGCAGCCGCCGCCCTGAGCCGGCCCCACGCCGCACCCGACACTTTCCTCTGCCTTCGGTCGATCAGCGCCGCGCGACCCCCCTCATTCCCGAACTGGAGGGCCGCCCCTCTCACGTGACATCATCGCGACGTCATCGTGGCCACCCACCCCCCCCCACACACACACACAGCGCCAACAACTACCTCGGTCTGTCCAACCACCCGGCGGTGGCGGAGGCGGCGGTGGACGCGATAAGGACGCATGGGTTTGGGCTGTCATCGGTCCGCTTCATTTGCGGCACGCAGGTCGGTGAATTTGTTGCTACCTGTTGGGTGTGCAGTTTCTTGAAGAGATGATTGATTGGAAGTGATTTTGGGTGGGTGGATAGTCATGGGGTATTCACGTGCACATGTGATTTTGTGTGTGTGTGGGTGGGTGTGTGTGTGCGTGTGCGTGCATGCAAATGTCCGTAGCACCACCACACCCTACCCGTCCCGTGCCTGCTCCCCCAATTCATATTTCAAACTTTGAATTCAAATTTAAACGCCTCCAGGACCTCCACAAGCAGCTCGAGGCCAAGATCAGCGAGTTTCACGGGACAGAGGACACCATCCTCTACCCCTCATGCTTTGACGCTAATGTGGGCCCCACGAGGCGGGGCGAAGGGGGGGAGGGGCATGGGGCTCAACACAGCGGGCCGCGGCGATCGCTGCCCCGCGGGTATAAGCCCAACACCTGTCACCCCCATCACCACACGGCGTCGAATCGCTCAATCCTCAAACCGCCCGTATCCTCTGTTCGCTGGAGCGACGCTGCCGTCATACGCGAAACCCCTTGATCCCTGGCGTACTCTGATCTGATCTGATCTGACCTGATCTGACCTGACCTCGCACCGCCACTCCTCGGACGCCCCCCAAGGCGGGCCTGTTCGAGGCGATCCTAACCTCGGACGACGCCGTCATCAGCGATGAGCTCAACCACGCCTCCATAATCGACGGCATCCGGCTCTGCAAGGCGCAGCGATACAGGTGCGTGCACGCGCAAGGGGACACGTTGTGGAGGTTTGACCGGGTTTGACAGGGGAGCCGGTGGCGGGGGCTGCGGGAGAGGGGGCGCCCCAGGACAAGGGGGGTGCGCTTCAGGCGCGTTCGCGCACGGACTCAAATGGGATGGTTCCACCGAGGAGCCAGCAGCAGGGGTTATGGGGTGGCGGCTGGGGGTGGGGCCAGGGTGAGGCGCCAGGCTGCATGCATGTGGGGCTGGGTGGTGCGTGTTTTGCCCCATGCGGCTGAGCCCGGATTGCCAGCACCCAAGTCGGCAGCCCCTCTGGCCGGCCCCCATGGAAGCGCCATACCTTGCTTTACGGGCAGCCCGAAGCATCGCGGCCACGGCTGCCCTCACATAATTCACCCAAATGCTGGGCACCTCATTGCATTGCACGTGTTGCCGGCATTACATCGTGCGGCCACTTTTCCGCTCGACTGTCGTGCACCCGTGCGCGGCAGCGGTCACCGCCCTCAGCCCTCAGCCCAAACCCTGAAATTGCCATCGAGGCCGCATCCCCAAAGCCAGATTTTGTGTGGGTTGAGATTGCCACCCCCTTGCACGTGACGACCACCTGAATGCCCCTCACCCCCCGGCCTTCTGCATACCACTGCGTAAAACAACCTTGGAAAACAACGTCATATCACACCCTCAAGGTTCAAGCACATGGACGTGGCGGACCTGGAGAGGTGCCTGCAGCAGGCGACAGACGCAGGGGCGCGCATCAAGGTGAGAGGCGCAAGCGCGCATTTTCCCGCTCCCTGGCCGTCTGTTCGCCTTGTGTCTTTGATCGTATGTTTTGCGCGCTCCCAGCCGCGCGAGAGATCCGGCAAAACTGCAAATACGAAAAGCTCATATGCACCCAGCTCCCGCTGCCCCGCCCCGCCCCGCCTGGCAGCTGGTCGCCAACGATGGCGTCTTCAGCATGAACAGGGACTTCCCCCCCCCTTAGTCGTGCTTCTTTTTTCCTGCAGAGCCGCTCGCTGGCGGCCTGCTTAGCCTAAGTTTGAAGCCCCAGCCATTTTTGGGCGCTCGCAGCAAGACCCCCGGTCCCGCAAACGTAATTATTGCACACTCACATTCATCGGAAACCTCAAAGTTCCACTCTCTCTGCCCCGCCCCGCCTGGCAGCTGGTGGCCACTGATGGCGTCTTCAGCATGGATGGGGACATAGCCCCTCTGGATGAGATAGTCAAAGTCATAGACAGGTGAGGGGGCGCCTCTGCGCACGCGCGTGTGCACGCTCGCGCAGCGCCGCCCACCAGCGCGCCCGTCGGGCCGCGGCCCCCTGGACCAGATTGTCAGCGTCACAGACAGATGATGAGGGTGCAGGCGCACATGCATGTGTGCACGCTCGCGCAGCGCCGCCCGCGCGCCACCGCCCCTTGTGCGCCCCCCGCCCGCGCGCCCGGCGCGTTCCTTGCCAATCGACCGCCGCGTGCGCGGCTGCGGCTGCGCTCTCGGTCTTCGTTGCAATCGAGCGCCCTTGCACCCTCCACCGACGCGGCAGTTACCAACCGCCGCCAACCGTCGCCAACCGAACCGCCAACCGCAGGTTCCCTGGCACCTACCTGTTTGTGGACGAGTGCCACGCCACAGGCTTCCTGGGCGCCACCGGCCGCGGCACCGACGAGGCGACGGGCGTGAGGGGGCGCGTGGACATCATAAACTCGACCCTGGGCAAGGCACTGGGCGGCGCGACGGGTGGGCGGGAGG